TAGAGCCACACTTCTCAGTAGGAACTTGCAATTGCTCATCACCTTGGGTTTCTGGAGCCATCCCACATACCTTTCCCCTGGTCCTTCCCGTGAACTCTCCTCTTGTCTAAAGACAGAATTGTGTGAACATCCTTGTTGACCTCAGCCCCAGTGGGGTGAAACACTCAGTGGCCCCCTCCTCAAATTTCCTCAGGCTCCTGTGAGCCCAGGGCTCACAAACAACCTCTCAGTTTGCAGATGTCTGGAGTTTGGTTTTACACCCACAGCTCAGAGGAGGGAGGACGGGAATCTGCTGACTCAGGAATGCTTGACCATGGTCTTCTCTGTGTCAGACTCGTCTCCCAGTTAGCTGAACCCAAGCGCAGTCCCTTGAGGTCCATCTCCAGGAACTCAGGTGTTTTCAGTGCAGAATGTGTGGGTCTGTGTGGGGACTCCAGGCTGTGTTAGAGTCAGGAGCACGTGGGAGGTAGTCACTGCATCTGCCTTTCCTTCTGTTCCACCTCGACTTGTTCCCTCTGATCTTTGACTCTGCATAGAAATACAGTAATGACGATAACGACCATGTCATTTCCTATTCCTGTCCATCCATCCCTTCTGTCTTATGATTTGTGATGAAATGGTTGTCACACCCGTGCATCCTTTCCAGGAGGAAATAGGAGAACAGTGTTGAGTAGATTTAGCCTCATAGCGTCTGCTAGCTTTAAGCTGCAGATGATATCTTGGATAGGAGGGTTAATGAAGAGGAAAATCCACACCTGGAATATTTTCCTAAAATGGGTATTTGCAGTGTGAACCTTGGCATGCTAACCACAATGGGAGATGACTGTGGCCTGGAATACTAACCAGAACCCAGACTTCAAGCTGTCTAGGTTCTGGTTACCTGCATGTGTTTCTGTCACAGAATATCAAACTCCAAGACTCTTGAATTCAGAAAAAAATGTGGCAAGACCTGATGGAACAATTTACAGAAATATGCCCCCAACCTACACTTTTTGATAAATGCTGTTTTCAGAGCAAGATGGAGCAGTGCAGCACTGAGCCGGTGCAATGAACACCAGAGTGCTGATTCCAGTTCACTTCTAGAGAAACCACCCAAGGCCGTTTCATGACATGTTGGCGTCTCAGGGCGCCATTTTGGATTTAACTGTTAGATGTTGGAATCTGACTTTTGACTAGTACCTGTTGGCTGGGCATAATGAATACATTCATCACGGGTATCTGTACAGCACATAACACATTTTAATTCTTTTTTGTACTCTTCCCCACAGATGTCTACCTGCTCCTTCCAAGTCTTGATCCCCTCCCCATTTTCAAATGCTCTCTTTCCATTTTCTTACATTTCTTTTCTTTTTTCCCCATGCCCTTAGCCTCCCCTCCCTCCTGGAATCTGATTTCCGCCCATTTGTTCTGTTACTGAGACCAGATTCTGTGTGGGAACTGAAGAAATGGACTCAACATCATGCACTGAGGAATGGGGTGACTGCAAGGAAGGTGGGTCCATTACAGGAAAGTGCAGCAGAGAGTGGTGAGTGCAGATGTGCTCAGGGCTGGTGGAGGACGGGGCCATCCAAGGAAAGCCATTCAGTGGAGAGAGAGTTCTCTGCACAGAGCACCGCAGACTCCCCTGCACCCAACCTTGTCACTGTGGTGGTCTTTAGGACCCCGCGGGAAGCCAAGACTCGGAGACTCCAAATTTGGGAGCCAAAGGCTTTTATTTCCAGGCCTGGCGGACACAGACTCCTGGGGTCGACCCCGAGAATGCGCGCCTTACAGACTATGCGTTCTACTTTTAAGCACAAAAACCGCAAAGAGGCGGGGATGGGGTGATTACTAGTTGCAGCGTTGGATTGGGGAATAAAAGTTAAAAGTTGATGTGTTCTTACATGAGTGGTATAACAAAGTCAGTTGGGTAGGTGTTGTTTTTCCTGGTTACACAAGGACAGCTGTTTCTTAATACGTCCCTTTAAGGAAGCACTATTTTGGTCTAACATAACATGCTTATTATCGTAGTATAACGGTCAGGCCATAACGACCTAACAGGAATTCCACAGCACAGCCTATCCATTGCCAAGCCACAGCGACCTAAGAGAAATTTCACAGCACAGCACAGCACAGTCCATCTATTATGGCTACTCAGGCGCACACAAAACAGCAATGTGGCGCAAGGTTATAACAGCCACCTCCCCAGGTCTCCCAGTGGATGGGCCCCAACTTGAATCCAGGACTTCCTCTAGAACCACCTTGGCATGTAGGGTTTCTGTCCAAGGGCCAACCACTGCGGGCACTTGTGGGAGACCCAGGCTGTACTCTCTGCAGAAAGGAAGCTCCCTGCCTCCGTCCTACCCTGACCTCTCCTTCACCCTATTCACTGACATGTGCAGAGCTTCTTAGCTTGAAACAGATGTTCCCTTAATTGGCTAAAAGAATGTTACTGAGTCCAGCTGAGGCACCAGTGGTTTCATTAATAGCAAAGCTGCAACAAGTGAGTGAGAATAGGTTCTGTGTTGATGGCTGGTATGGAGGCTTGAGCAAGAGCCTGTGAGAACCTGGGCTAAGACATGAGATAACATCTCTTCTGAGGCCTTGGGACTCAGAAGAATTACACCTTTCTTTCAGTAAAGGTGCCAAACTTGGATACATCAGACTAGGCTTCTATTGCTAATTTGAGGCAGTATGCCTGGTAAAAAAAAAAAAAAAAAAAAAAGTTCTCTGCTTGTCTTTGTAGCCATGCCTGCAAGATTGCTTTCCCTAGCATACTGCCACAACCTCCACCCACCTCCCCGATTGATACCAATAAAAGCCATGAGCTTTTGGACACAAGGCCTTTTGTTCCATAGAGAACACTGGGTCATCTGGGAGCTCCTCAACAGCAAAATTTTCTCTCTTTTCTTTATTTTGCATCCGTGTGCCATACTGCCGGGTGGGATAGACTGATACCCCCCATGGAGTTTCGGTAAGCACTGATGGCTAGACCCTGTGTTCATCTCAGGGCTGCGTCTTGGGTCCTTCTCTGACTGTGCTGAGCCTGGAAGAGCAGAATCCCCAGGGCCACCAGGACCAGGCCAGCCAGGCCCATGCGGATGAGGTTCTGCACTGTGTAATCCTGAGGCTGTGGGTCTGGGGATGGGGACAAAGAGGTCAGAGAGGTCAGGAGAGATCAGAATCTCCCCGGATCTCACTTCACAGCACTCATAGAGAATTCTGCCTGGTACTGCTAAGCTCAGGACTTAGAGACAGGGCTGGACTGGCTGGCCCTTTTTCAGACAGAAAGAAAGTGTCCACAGCCCTGTGTGATCCACACAGAAGGGCCGCCATCCTCCCTTGAAGGGAACGAGGGTTTTAGGTCAACAGAGGGAGGGAGCCGCTCCGAGAATCCCGGGGGGGAAGTTGGCCTGAGTGAGCCCAGCCTGGGGCTGCCCACCAGGGCACTGGGGCAGGTCACCTGGCCCCTCCTTGGACAGAGGGAATCGAGGTCAGAGCGACACTGGAGGGTCAGGTTATGTCCAGGGTCCAGGACAGGACCGTGCTGGGTCAGGAGGGAGGGCTTCCTGGACAGCCCTGGAGTGATGAGAAGCCAGCTGAGGGGCTGGATCCTGCCATGCCCTGCCCTCCTGTCCTGCTGTGTGGGTATCTCTGTCCCTCACATCCGGGGTCTCTGGCTCAGCAGCTTCAGGCTCCCCTCATCCTCTCTGAGGCTGTCCTGAGGAGAAGGATCCCAACAATCTGCTTGGTGCCCAGGATTACATAAGATAGGGTGAGGACTTCCTTACCTGGGACCAAGAGCTCTAGGGGGTCACTGGGCTCCTACCACACCTGGGGTTGGCTCCAGTACCTGCCATAGCATCTGAACGTCCACCTGTGGCTGGGGGTCACAGGGCCCACACGGAACAGGGCCTTCACCTGCCCATTGAAACCTTCCTGTGAGTCTAGTGTCCAGGAGAGCTTGTCTCCTCCTTCCTCAGTCAGAACGAACCTGTCAAATCCCAGCCTTGAGCCACACTGGAGGGTGACGTTCCCTCCTGAGGTCAGCACAGGGCTGAGGGGCTGGGTTTGCTGGAGACTCCTAGGAGAGAAGGAGGCAGCGTGTGAAATGGACTCACACCTCCCACGCTGTCCCCAGGGCTGGGCTGTGAGAGGGGGACACCCCTGAGAGCAGACCCCTTCCTGAGGGCAGAGCCTGGGGCTGGGACCTTGAGTGACCCCTCACCTGTCACCACCAGCTCCAGGGGCTCACTGCGCTCTGACCAGTTAGCAGGGCTGCCATTGAAACAGTGATATTGCCCTGCATGGTGCTCTGTTATGAATTGGACGGGGAAATTGGCCTTGTTCCTGGGCTCCACTGGGGTCTGTTTGTCCCAGGGCACTTGTCTTCCCTCTCTGTACAGATGGTACTCCTGGGCCCCCAGAGGCCCCTCACACCAGAGGGTTATAGGTTTCCCCCGTGGTATCACAGATGGTGGCTCAGCCCAGAGCCTGGGTTTGGGGAGGGTCCCTGCAGGGAAATCACAGCTGGGTCCCAGGACTTCCTGTTCCCCTCAGCTCCCAGCGCTCAGCCCCAGGACCCTGCAGACCTCCCAGCACCAGCCCACCCCTGCTGTGCTCCATCCCCTCTGCCCAGGGGTGGCCCCTTGTCCCCAGGAGGAGGAGGGACCTGGGACGGCTTGGACACAGTCACCTGCCTGCACTCAGATCCTGGGACCCAGACTCAGCCTTGGAAGAGAGTTCCCTGTGAGAGGTTCGCCCTGGAGCCTGAGGGGGTCCTGTGCTCCCCAGCGCCTGCTGAACCCTGGGTCTCCTGATGGAGCAGGGCCTGAATGTGGGGTGGGGCCCCTCTCAGACCAGGGTGTTTCCTCCCCTCTTCCCGTCTCACCCAGGCAGAGCACGACCAGGAAGGTAGCATTCATGATGTCCCCTCTCACTGGCCACAGCTGTGCAAATTGAGAAGACCACAGTCCTTGGCAGGGTGTGGCCACCGAGAGGTGTGGTCCTGCCCTCCGGAGGATGTCACATCAGCAGCCCCAGAGGATGGGGAACGGCCGTCCCTGTTATAACCTTGCGCCACACTGCTGTTCTGTATGCGCCTGAGTAGCCATGATAAACATGTTATGCTGTGGAATTTCTCTTGGGTCTTTGTGACCTGACTGTTATGCTGTGCTGATAAACATGTTGTGTTAGACCAAAATAATGTTCCCTTAAAAGGACATAATGAAAGAACCAGCTGTCCTTGTGCAACTGAGCAAAGCACCACCTGCCTGATCTGCTTTCCTATCACCCCATCCCCTCCCTTTTTGCGGTTTTTGTGCTTAAATTCAGAGTGCTTAGTCTGTGAGGCGCGCATTCTCGGAATCGATCCCAAGAGTCTGCGTCAGCCAGGCCTGAAATAAACGCCTTTGTCTCCCAAATTTGGAGTCTCCGAGGCTTGGCTTCCCTCGGGGGTCGTGAGACCACCACAGTCCCCTGCACGCTGGCTCTTGTTTCCTAGCCTGGATGCAGGGTGAGCATATGCTCCTCCAGACACTTCAGACAGGATGAGGTCTCACTTACCCACTCTGTCTTCCTGATCTGTCCTCCTCTGGTCCCTTGACCTGGGCGCAAAGAGACCCGGAGCCATCCTGAGCTGGCCCCTTCCAGCCCATGGTTGCCCTGGGCTGGTCCTTCCTTTCACAGCCTCCCACGGGCTCCTCCCTCCCTCAGCCCGTCCATCTTCACAGCACGGTTCTTCTCACCCTGGCAGTCCTCCTCAGCCCTGGAGATGCTCGGGGAAGATGCAGGTTCCTGCTGCAGGTGGACGACAGCAGAGATGCGCTGAGTCCTGACTGTCAGCTCCCTGGACCCAGCTCTGTCTCTACAGAAACTTACAGGCTGGGACAGACAAGCCCCTTCCTCTTGCAGACCTCCTGTCATGGTCACAGTGTCCTCCTGCCATTGTCCATGCCACCCAGCCATGCCCACTGGGCCCTCATCATGTGCAGTCATGGTGCTAGGCATGACTCATTGGTGAAGCAGCAGCCCCCTCCCCGGGACCCCTAGGACTCAGACTATGAGGTCAGAGGATGGATGCTTCAGCTTCAGCTCCCCAGCAGCACAGAAGGATCAAGATTGATCAAACTGTTAAAGAGAATAAAAAAATAATTTAAAAACATTAGAAACAATATAGAGCTGTTGGAGACCACTACAAAGTGGCTCTGAGCAGGATTTAATATTAACCAATTGGCTTTCCATGTGTACTTGTGAGTTGTCTGAAGCTTAGGCACCTTGTCTGAAGGTGGGCAGTGGACTCATAGTAAGTGAACCTCTGTGAGTCCCTGGTCACCGCTGAGGCCTGTATTGGCCTGTGAAGCTGTGACACCTCAAAGGACAAGACAAGGCCACAGCTGAGGATGTCTGGCTCCAGCCCCAATTAACTACAATGAGATTGCAGCTACAGATTCCATCTCATTCCTGCCGTGAAGGCCTTCCTGGAGATAACATAGTTCTCCTAAATTAACGTAGTGTATTACTTGGAAAAGTACAGCCCAGATTTCCCCATTTCTAGAGTATCCTCCTTTGTTTATAAACCAAATAAATACGGGCTGCCCAGAGAAATCGTTGGCTAAACTCAGAGAATATTGAAGCTGTAAGAGAGTGGGTCCCTCCTGGAGCCCTGAAATCATTTCCACTGTCTCATCTATTTAAGCCTTCGCGGTCCACTCACTTGGGAGATTGTGGGCCTGATCAGCCCACAGTTACTAAGGGTTATTTAACCGGATAGGAGCTTCACTAAACAAGATGGTAGGAATTCACTTTGTTGAAGATAACAATAGGTAATATAACAACCACTGTTAATTCCTAACATTTTGTTTTGAAACCCTGTATCATTTTTATTGTTTTGTGTTGTTTTGTTTTTGTCTATGTTGTTATTTTGGTTTTTTTTTTAATTCTCTTTTTGGAAAAATAACAGATGGAGGGCAAGCTGATCGGTTTTGGGTGTGGGAAGATCTGTCCGCACTTGGGTGGGCTGAGGCAGGAGACCTTTGCCGAGACAACAGGGAGGAGGTGCGAGGGGAATACGCTCACCCGTCTGCACCCAGTTCCAGGGCTGGCGTTGCCTTTGGGAGCCACTGTGTGCAGTGTGTTGCTTCCAGCCCGCTCTCTGACTTCCCTACTTCTATGAGAAGCAGCCCCTCTTTCACTCTCCGTCAACAATTTTCACTCGTTTCTGCGTCCTCACTTCCCTTCTCCCTTGACAGCAGCTCCCCTCACGGTTGGGAAGGAGCCTGTTATGGTTTGTGTCTAGATGTCCACCCAAAGCCTCATGCAGTCATAAACGGGGCTTTTTCAGAGGTGGCTGGATCTAGGGTGTGTGATGCTGGGTTTGATTCATGACGCAGTGCTAGGCTCAAGGGCGCTAGGATTAAGGGTGTGAGTGCTACTTGCCCTAAATAGCCTGGATAAGATACAAGGGGCAGAAAGATGCTAAGGTCCCTTGTTGCTTCTGCTGTCTTCTGCCACCATGAACTGTTTCTCGTCTGCAATGCCCCTCTATCAAGCCACCCTACCTTGGACCCAGGCGATTATGACCTGAACCCTCTACAAACTATGAGCTAAATAAACCTCTTCCCCTTTAACTTTGGGTGTCAGGTATTTTATCTCACCAACAAGAGACAAGCAAGTAAGACAAAGCCTGGACGCCCTGCCCTGGCCCTGCACACTGTCACCGTCACTGCACAGGGGGCAGGACCCCGGCAGAGTCACATCCTGGAGGCTCCCCTGGGAGGCCGCCTCTGCAGGGCTCACAGCAAGCTCAGCAGGAGAGGAACTTGAAGGTCAGGGCCAGGCCTCCTCTTTACCTCTGGAGAAACTGAGGCCCGCACAGGAGGGGCTGGTCTGAGTCAGCGTCTCCAGAGGAGGCTGCACCCGCCCCACAGTCCAACCCCGGACCCTCCCAGCAGTGCCCTGACTCCTGGGGGTGACAGGTTGGTCCTCAGAGCCTCCTCGGGATGGGCGGGCCTGGGCTCCCTGATTCCCACTTCAGCTGCTGCTCCTCCCCCTGCTTTGGCCCAAATCTCCCCCTGCCCGAGCCCAATTCCACTGAACAAAGCCCACCCTTGAGGTTATGAGATATTATGACTCAGAACTGCCGGGTTTGGGGACCTTGCAAGCAACGGGCCTCAGTGTCCAGCTGTGAGAACTGCGGAGGTGGCTCCCAAGACATCCGGGAATCAGTACAACAGCAGGCTGAGGTCAGGGCCTCCCAAGTCTCTGCTCTCCTCCCTGCACCCCTGGTCTGCTTCAGACACCCCCCCCCCCCCGCTGCACAGGCCTCCTCCCCTCTGAGGTGGGTCCCCTCACACTGACCTCCCAGGCCTCGTCCTCCCATTCCTGCTGGAGAGGTCCTGGGTTTACAGCCCTGAGGGCCTTGAAGACCTCAGAGAGGACGGGGTCAGAGGTCAGAGTCAGGTGTGGGAGTCGGTGGTCTCTCAGTGGTCCCTGGGAGAAAACGATGAGAGGACTTAGAAAATAAAGACAAGAGACAATAGCCAGGGTCAGGTGGAGTTACCTCTTGCCTGATGAGCAAGAGGACTGACTTCAACAGTAGGGGTGTTTATTTTATACACTTGCAAAGGTAGTATCATGAGGGGGTAATATTGCCTAGTGACTAATGACTGTAATTGTCTGGCAGGATGCCTTTTTCAGTACTGAGGTAGCTGACCGCTTGACCAATAACCAGCTCCAGTGGCTCCCGACAGTCAGGGGTTCCTCATCTGAGACCACTAACTCCAGGGGCTCACTGGGTTGTGACAGCAGGTGGGGGAATGAGTCCCGGGAGCCATAGCACCTGTAGGTCCCCCCGAAGGGCTGAGCTGACAGCTCTCATGGAGAATTCCACCTGGGACTGCTGAGCTCAGGACTCTGATCTCAGACGCAGGGGGGGATCAGCTGCCCGCTTCTTGGACAGAAGGAAAGTGTCCATCGGGCTCCGGGACTGACACAGCAGGGTCACATCCTCTCCTGAGGTCACTCTGAGTCCTGGCTGCACCAAGAAGGAGCATGTAACAGGGAGCTCTCCTGGACCACCTTGTTATTTCATTAGCACACACACTCTCCTTATTTTCCTCTTTTTCCCTGTGTCCCTCTCTCTATTTCTTACAAACTAATAGAGGGATCTTTTAAAAACCTAAATCAGATCAGGATAGTCTTTTTACTCAAGAATCTACAATGACTCCTATTCAAAAACACCAGACTCACTCCTGAATTGCTCTTGCTGTCCTGTGCCTGGAATACTCTTCCCTAGGAGTGTACATGGTGGAAATGCTCACCTTCTCAGTAATTTTGCTCAAATATTCTCTACAAAGATTCCCCGGGCCACCTAGTAATATAGCCGCCGACCCAAGGCCCGACTGGCCTCCAGCACAGGAACTGACTGACTCTGCTTATCCGCCGTCTCCTTGATGTGGTATGAACACCAGTGGGTCCAGTCAGAAGTGGTGGCACATGCCTGTGATCGTATCACTTGGGAGGGTGAGGCAGGAAGATTGCTGTGAGAGCTTAAGGCCATCCTGAGTTCAAGAGCGAGCTCAAAGCCAGCCTGAACTACACAGTGAGACACTGTCTCAAAGAAACAGACAAACAAAGCAAAAGACCCACCACTAGGTCAGGTTCTGTTTTGGTTTGCTTGTCTATTTTTCTGTTTCATTCACTACAATATCACACGTTTAGAACAATGCTTATGATTTGGTAGATGACAGATACATTTTGTAACATGAATGAATGGACAAATCACTCCTAGTTGTTTTCTGAGCAGCGCTGTTACCCCTCAGGAAGCAGATCGCTCCTGTGTGTGTTTAATACAGAGTATCCCCTGTACGCTAAGCTTGCGGGGAGAGCACCTACCCATCTCGTACGCTTAGTCTTTACATACCAGAAGCATCCTAGCAGACAGACTGTAACGCAGAGGTAGGAGCACAGAGCAAGACTCGGGATTCTTGAGAAGGCGGCTGCACCACCACCGCTCCCTCCTCCCCTTCCAGGGTCAGGATGTGGGTGTCGCTGACTGGTGCAGGGTGCAGAGTCGGCAGAGGAGGCCAATGGCGAAGACTGAGCACAGGTAGCTGACAACCCGTGAGGAGAGGAGACCGTTCCTGGCAGCTAGGGGAAGAGGGAAGCAAGGCCAGTGCACTGTGGTTGGGTGGAGGCAGGGGTCAGGGTGTGGAGAGGTAGGTTCTGTGGGACAGGCTTGGAGGGGCAGTCACGGAGGACACTGGGCTGAAAGGAAAGGACATATCACAGGGACCCAGGCACCCGCCTAAGGGAGGACACTGAAGAGCTGGGAGGTGAATGTGATCAGCGTTGGGTGTGGGAGCTATAGATGACATGGGGGAGGAGGTGCCAGGGCCAGCGGGGAAGGGGAGCCACTGCAAGCCAGGTGGGTGGGAGATCTCGCAGGCCACAGGCACTGGTGCCAACAAGGACTAGAATTTGCTGCCTGTGGCCTGCAGTGGGCAGCTCAGAGGTGCTCAGGTCTATGGCTATACCGCCCTGAACACGCCCGATCTCATTTGATCTGGGAAGGTAAGCAGGGTCTGCCCTGGTTAGTACTTGGATGGGACCCAGAGGTGCTCAGGATCCTTCCTGAGATAGACCCAACAGAGGCGGTCAGCCCTCAGCCCTCAGATCTAAGAGTCCAGACCCGGCCTTCCTCCTCACACATAGGGGTCAGGACCCCAGCCGTGTTCCTTCAGACCCGGGGGCCCAGGCCCCACTTCCTCCTCCTGGAGGTCCACAGGTTTGGGGTTCAGCTCTGCTTTCTCAGATCGAGGATTCCAGAGGCCTCCTTCCTCAGACCCTGGAGTTAGAATCCCCGGTCCCTTCTTCCTTAGACCCAATTTAGAATCCCCATCCTCTACACCCCACGGGCCCAGGAGTCCAGACTTCTAGACTTCTCTCCTTAAAGGTCCAAGCATGGACCTCCCAAAGTGCTCCTACCCTAAGGCCAAGGAGTCCGAGCTCCAGCTTCTTTTTTGTTTATTCAAGAGCTTGGAACGCTGGCCCTCCCATGAGACTGCCCAGTCCCAGGTCCAGCACTGGTCTGCGGATTCCTCCTGTCATCAGTTTCCCAGCCCCCAGGTGCCTTTTGCTCAGTAAACTCAGTACTTGGAACCCTTCCTCCTCCTGCCCTCAGCACCCAGGAACTGGCCAGAGGCTGATGGCTCTTCACTCCCCCACCCCTCCCACCTCCGTGGGCCCCCTGGGGGCGGTCACCTCTCAGGGGCCACCAGGCTTCGACTCCAGGTGATGGCTTCTCCTTCTTCCATGACAGCACACAGCCTTCCTTCTCTCCCCAGGGGTGGTGGACAAGGACAGCCCCCGCTAAGGAAGGAGCCAGGGGCAGGGCCATATCTGGCCACTAGGGGGCCCAAAGAGACCACAGTACATTTCCCATAGACTTTCAGGATCACTGCTGCCAGAGGTCTCCTGGGAGCTGAAGTCCTGGTCACCTCCTGAAGGTGCCAGTCAACCTCAGTTCCGAAAGCAGCAGCAGCAGGCCACTCATCGTCACAGTGCCACTCAGTGCCCAAAGGTTGGCACGTGTCTGTCCTCCACAGACACTCCCACAAACACGCCTGTCTGGCACTTTTTGGGAAGGACTTACAAATTCTGACCCATCTTAGGCCAAGGGTGACGAGAGTACCCCGGAAGGGAGCTGCTACACAAGCAGAGTGTCTAGCAGCTCACCAGACCCTTAGTTCTCCTTAGGACATGGAAAGCCATGACCCCTCTGATGTGTAAAAACCTGGCGTGATGAGATTAAAAGTAAGAGCAAGACACAAGCAAAGCCCTCCGCCCCGAGTCTGGTCCTGAAGCCCCTGTTCCTACACTGCAGATCCAAGGAGGGAAAGTGTGCGGGAAGGCACAGTGCGCCACCCCGCGGGCCCCAACATTCTTGGGGAGAGCAGCTGTACAGAGCAGGCTGTGCCCTGAAGTGAGTTACTCCATGTTTCATGACAGAGTGGATTTCAGGCAGTACTTTTTCCCTGAGGGACTGCATCTTATAAAACAGCAGTTTGGTCCATTGTGAGCAAAAATTCTGAGGCAGAATCGTAAGATTAATTGTCTGTGGAAACCACTAAATGTTGAACACACCAAGCTTACAAAGAAAAAAAGGTGCCATGAAGAGCCAAATAAACCGTTCCAATAAAAACACTGCAACCTATAAACATAGGAAAATTAAATCAGGGAGCATGAATTATCAGAGCTGTATGGGAGGAGAACCAGGCTGTGAGCTTACCGCACACACGAAGAATGGTGGAAACGTCTTCAGTAGATCATGCAAGAGGAGGAGCACCCAACACCGGGTGCATTGGGAACACACACCAACCTGTCACGTGTCACACAGGCAACAAATGACAAACCCCAGCTGTTGCCCTGCCTCAGCCAGCTGGATCTTCCCACTTGATGAGGTCCATTTAAGCAACCAAATATCCAGATGGGGTGCAAACAAACTGCATGCTCTTAACGAGCATGGCACACTGCGTATAAATACCACATTCTTTTTATCCATTCACCTGTTGATGGACTACTTACGGAGTGCTTCAGAGATATAACTATTATGAGCTGCGCTGCTGTACACATGGGCTTGCACATACCTTTGTAATATGATGTCTTTAACTCTTTCAGGAAGGCACCTAGAAGGAGAACAGCTGGGTCAAATGGAATTTCTTGTCTTAGGTTTTTTTGAGAAATGTCCATACTGAGTTCCACAGTCGTTATTAGTTTAATTCCCACCAACAATGTTGGCCAGTGTCCTGTTGAGGAGCTTTGCATCTCTGCTCATTGTTATTACCTAGCTATTGCGCCACATTGCTGTTCTGTATGCGCCTGAGTAGCCATGATAAACAAGTTGTGCTGTGAAATTTCTCTCGAGTCTTTGTGACCTGACTGGTATGCTGTGCTGATAAACATGTTGTTACACCAAAATAATATTTTCCTTAAAGGACATAATGAAAAAACTAGCTGTCCTTGTACACTAGAGAAATGCGTCATCTGCTTGATCTGCTGTCCTATACCAATCATGTAAAACCACCTCAACCTTTAACTTGTATCCCCCAATCCGAAGTTGCCACTAACTATCACCCCATTACCACCCCTTCTTTGTGGTTTTTGTGCTTAAATACAATGTGCTTAGCTTGTGAGGCGTGCATTCTCGGGGCCGGTCCTATGAGTTTGCTTCAGCCAGGCCTGGAATAAATGCCTTTGCTCCCCAAATTTGGAGTCTCCGAGTCTTGGCTTCCCACGGGGGTCATGAGACCACCACACTCATTAGAGACCGACTTGTAGCTTCCTTACAGAGTTGAGTCTACGGTTGTGGAATCAGGATAATGCTAGCTTCTAGGAACAAGAATGACAGCACTTTTTCCCTTTCAATTTCACTAAAGAGTTTGAGGACTACGGGTGTTATATTTCCCCTGAATTTCTTGTAGAATTTAGGGGTGAATCCATAAAGTCCTAGGCTTTTCTTTATTACTGATCCAATGTCATTGCCTGCTATTGGGTTACTTGGGGTTTTTATATCTTCTTGGTTCAGTTTTAATTCATATGTACCTAGGAATCTATCCATTCCTTCCAGATTCTCCAATTTACCAGAGTACAGATTTTTAAAATAGTTACTGATGATGTGGATTTCAGCCACATCCTGGTCATTTTAACTTTTTCATGTCTACTTGCACTGTTATGCATCTTCTCTTTCCTTTTTTTTGGTTAAGATTGAGTCAGGGTTTGTCTTCTACGTTTATTTTTTCAAAGACACAGCTCTTTGATATTGATTGTATCTTGTCTTTTTCAATTTCTTTCATTTCTGCTCATATTTTTATAACTTCTTCCTTGTAGTAGCTTTGGATTAGGGTTATTCTTATTTTTCCAGGCCCTTGAGGTATATCATTAGGTTATCTGGGTTCCTTCTGCTTTTCTTTCTTTCTTTTTTTCTCTTTATCTTATTACACAGTGTGATTCTCTACTTTCAAAGCAGGTTTAGTCAGTCCTTATGTACTGTAACTCTCTGTCACATATCACCTCTGATTTCTACTTACAGATGTGGTCATTACAAAGTTATATTCACATTAATAAAGATTCTAGTATCCTTCTTAATCTTTTTTTTTTTTTTTTTTTTTTTTTGGACAGGGTCTCACTATGCAGTTCAGGCTGGCCTTGAACTCACAGCAATTCTCCTGCCTCAGCCTCTCAATTGCTGGGATACATGTGTGCACCACCACATCCATTTTTTTTTTCTTTTTAGTTTATTTATTTATTTATTTATTTATTTTGGTTTTTCTCCGGTACCAGGAACCGAACTCACAACCTTGCGCTTGCCAGGCAGGCACTTTTGCCGCTGAGCTAAATCCCCAGCCCCTCTTTTTAGTTTATATACATCATGATAATATTCATCGTAGGCAATTCGTTCTGTACACATCTTAATTTTTCTATTCCCATTCCCATCTACTCCCTTCAACCCTTCTTCCCCTCCCCATTTACAAAGCTTTGTTTCCATTTTCCCCTTCCATTGTTTTTAAATCCCTTTTCCCTTCCTTCCTTCTCCTCTCCCTTGTTGGCCTTTCCATTTGAACATGTTCTTCCTATAAGAACCCATCTGGATAAATTTATACTTGTAATCCCAAGGAAAAGGTACTGGAATTCTAGTAAGTAAATTCCAATCTACCACTTCCAGTGCAACCCACGGTGAGAATAAAGAGACAAACACACATCTGCAGTTGTGGGGAGCCAAAGGTAGTTAAGTCCGGTTAGAAAAATGGCTAACCAGAACGAAGGCCGTGACCCAGGGCCGAACCCGAGTTTTAATGATTTGTGAAGAGGGCAGCAGCTCAGGGTTGAGTGACTGTGAGAATGGTGGGAAACATGCGAGTCCTCTGAGCTGGGTTAGCTAGAATGTATGTGCTGCCGAAGTGAGCACTGGGCTAGTCTGAAGACACAACGGCACCTCCGCAGTATGCAGAGAGGCACGCAGAAAGAGTACTGGATTTCAGCAACAGGTAGTCTCTAAGTTCGGAGGAATCTGTACAACACAGTTTGAAGAGGTATCTTGTGTTTTGGGTTGGCTGCTTCAGCTCTGATGTCTGGCTCTCTGCTCTGGGACGTCACAGCCTCTTTCTCCAGGTTCAATCCACCTGACGGCAGTGTCTCTCAGCCTAGTTCATGCTTAGCAGTAGGGAGCTATAGGTGAGTATCACTGACCTGTCATTGCTTCAAAGGCTACACATCAGCACCTCAGCTAGACCCATTTGCATTGCTTAAAGCCAACTGAGGGGGTATTTTCCTAGCCAGCTCTGTACATATCAGTACATGGAACTAGGGCAAAGGCTAGCCAAAAGGAAGACAAATTGTCTCCCTTCAGGGGGAGCCATCCCAGTGGGCCTCCACACTTCCTATGTCCCAATATAATCTTGCATTTTGCTCCTTATTTACCCTTTGGGTTTCTCACACAAGAGAAACAATGTGATATTTAACCCATGTGTCTGATTTCTCTCACTTAAAGTTATGGTCTTGAGGTACTTCCATTTACCTAAAACTTACTCAGGATAGTACTTCATTTTAAGTAAACACATTTTCTTTATCCTTTCATCTGCTGGGAGGCATCTGGGTTGTTTCTGATGTAGGCATTCACAGCTATAAACTTCCCCATAGGTTCTGGTAAACTGTACTGGCATTATTATTTTACTCTAGGAACAGATTTCCCCCGTGACCCACTCAAGAGTGCGTTGCTTAATCTCCATGTGTTTGCATAATTCTGTGGATTCTTTTTGTCACTAAGTTCTGTGATCTGATAATATGCATGTGCTGATTTTGATTCTTTTGTATTAAGCACGCTTTATTAGCTCATGGTCTATTTCAAAGAAAGTTTCATGTGGTGCTGAGAAGAATGTGTGTATCTGTAGGTATCTATTACATCCAATCTATCCTTATCTATTACACATTCAAAGTTTTAACTCCAATATTTCTTTCATGATTTTTTTTCTTCAGGTGATCTGTCTCAAATCCTGAAGCTGCTCTTAAGCCCTCTGTAGCTGTTCTGTGATGTATGTTATTGTGTGAACTGTAATGTGGGACTTGAATATTATAGATATTGGGACTGGAAAAAAAAAACAAAACTGATTGCCTGGCTCACAGTGAAAGCATGAGAATGCAGCCCAATAAGGCTGATGAAATTCACGTAACTTTTGAATTTACTACATTTCCATAAATTCTGATGCTGTGCAAAGACACAAATGTGTACAGTCTATGTTACTGGAATAGCTCACTCATAGCAGCACCTCTTGGAACCATAGCAAGCTGGAGCATGGGCAGAGAGAGATGTGGGTAGAGAGCAGCCTGATTCCAGAGGAGGAAGAGGTGGGCTGCTGGACACAAGGCAGAAGGCCGGACAGCAGGGAGACCTCTGCAGAGGGGATACTCCAGGTTTGATTCAAAGGCAAGATAGTTAGCAGGGGAAGAGGAAACTCTCTTCAGCCTATGAGTCCAGCAGGGACTCTTGCTGGGAAAGGATAAAATATTAGACTGATTCACAGAATTTTCAGACAAAAGATTTGTAGCTTGACTGTCTACGGAAGAGAGCACTGTGGTCATTTACTCCTCCCTGAACTTTTCCGGGGTGAGGCTGGTAGCCTTGGATGCCATTTTCTGCCCCCTGGGGAAGTGGCCCCCCAAAGCCAGCCCTATTCCCAAGCAAGTCAGAGCCAAGACATGAATGCAGAAGTAGACAGAGGACCAGTACCGGAGTATGTCATCCACGGAGAGGAGCTCGAAGCCCATGCACATGTACTCATAGGCACACATCTTCAGGAACCAATGCACCCAATACCAGGCTTTCTGGCCCCTGGGGCTCAGCCACCCCCGAAGGGCTGATTCCAAACAGCCCTCAGCAGCCAGGCACAGTGGCATCGTCAGGAAGCTGAGATAGTAGCCTGGGTGCAGGCCGTGCCAGTAGGCGCTCAGCAGCAAGGTCCAGGTGCTCCTGGGGAATATGGTGGGATTCAGGAGTCAAGTGTTGTCCCTCAGGCCCAGAGGACCAATCCCCAGCACTTCTTGCACAGATCCAAGGTCTAGACCCAAGTCCTCCTCCCTCATACCAACAGAGTTTAGGCCCACAAACTTCTCTCTCTGACTCAGGAGTTCAGGCCCAAGTCCTCCTCCCTTAGGGCCACAGCCCATCTTCCTTAGATGCAAGGCCATAGGCACCAGCCCTCTTCCCTAAATCCAGTGCTCCAGGCCCTTAGCTTTCCTTCACTGGACCTGTGGCGAACACATAAAACAGACAGAAAATTACTGGGCTATTGGGTGCAGGGAAAAATGTCAGTTTGACCCAAGAAAGAGAAACTGTGCTTGACTGTTATCTTTAGTTTGAAAAAAAAAAATATGCTTCTGAGAACATTCTGAACTTCACAACACCTGCTTGCTGAAACCGATAGGTTCCGCTTTTCTACTCTTGCAAAAATTTTTTCACAAGACAGGTGTGCCAACCAGGATGTGGTTTTCAAGCTTAAAAGCTCAAGCATTCTTTGGTCCGGGGCTGCTCAGCATCTCCCTGCGTGGAGAACAGACTGACAGCCACCGGCCCGGCTAATAAAGGCTCTTAAATTCCAATTTGGATTCTGGTCTTGGTTCTTTATTCAGAGTAACCCATTACAATTTGGGGGCTCGTCCGGGATCCCATTATTGGGATTAAATAAAGAACCAAGGCTTCTTTGAGGCTATTACTTCTCGGGGGAATCTCAGACGTTCCTCTGCCCCGGGAAGATTTTTGGTCTCAAAGAATAAAATTCTTTCATTCTGGTTTTGTAGGAATGAGCCGTCAGGATTCTTACTGGTAAGACACCTTCTGTTTATTGGGGTGCCCCTCGGGAGTCTCTTGAGGAGTTGGATGCAACATTAAGGCCTCAGAGACACAGCTGCAGACCACGTCAGCGGCTGGTGGCTTTTGGTTTACTGGTAACCTGTCTATCGTCAGTCTTTGTTTTTGTCAGTTTAAATATGGGTCAGTCCGCTTCTGCTTCCATGTCACCTTTGCAATGTATTCTTAATCACTTTCAGGATTTCAGGCAATGAGCTGCTGACTATAGGGACTCTGTGTCCCCTCGCAAACTCCAGACCTTGTGTGAACTGGAGTGGCCCTCTTTTCCAGGAGTTTCCTGGTGTCCGGAGGGCTCTTTTAACCCTTCTCTTGTTTACCAGGTCCACAAGGTCGTCCTTGACAATCCTGGACACCCTGACCAGATTCCTTACATTCAGGCTTGGCTAGATTTGGTCCAGGATCCGCCTAAGTGGGTTAAGACTTGCCAGTTCAAGTCCCACTGCGGCACCAACAGCAGGGCAACCACTGTGGCTGTGGCAATCCCCACAGCTAAGAAGTGCTCTCAGGCACTTTAGAAAAGGCCTGTCCTCCCTTCCGACCCCAAATCCCCTGCCCTCTATCCTCGTCTACCCCGTCCACCTCCCTATCCCTCTGCTCCCATCTCCTCAGATTCTATCTCACCCCTTAGCCCTTCCCATACCCGAAGCGGTCACCTTTTTTCTCACCAGCCCCCCTCAGCCCCCTTTGTCGACCCTCTCCTCTGCACCTGCTCCCCTTTTACCCCTCTAGGAGATGGCTAGGGAGGACTCCTCCAGCCCCTTTATGGTTTATGTCCCTTTCTCTACTAGTGACCTCTACAATTGGAAAAACCAGAACCCGTCCTTTAGCCAGAATCCCCAGAGGTTTATTTCGTTCTTGGAGTCTGTTCTCTTCACTCACCAGCCTACTTGGGATGATTGTCAACAGTTGTTACAGACCCTCTTCACATCAGAAGAGAGAGAGAATTCGAGGTTTGGACCGAAAAGTGGTCCTGGGACAGCGCACCTGAGACTTGAACCAACAAGAATATGTTTTCCCTCTGACTTGACCTGCTTGGGACCCCAACTCCAGTCAAGGTAAGGAGGCTCTTGATCGGTATTGCCAGCTTCTTTTAGGGGCTATGAGGGCAGCAGCTAGAAAGCCTACTAATTTATCTAAAGTCACTGAGGTTACTCAGGGATCTGAGGAGTCTCCTGTTGCCTTCCTCAAATGCCTCCAAGAGGCTTACCAGATCTACACTCCTATAGATCCCGAGGCTCCTGAGAACTGAAGGGCCATAAATATTGCCTTTGTGTCTCAATCAGCCCCAGATATCAGGAAAAACTTCGAAGGATGAAAGGATTTGAGGGAAAAGCGTTAACAGAGTTGGTAGAAATAGCACAAAAGGTATTGAACAATAGGGGAGCTCTGAGAGAACTAAGTAAACGTATGGCCAAGGTCCTCATAGCTATGGGAGAAAAAGATGGATCGACAACTAAAAAGACCCTTTTCCCCCAGACTAAACAAAAGAGGGTAGCTCTCGGCAAAAATCAGTGTGCCTATTGCAAAGAGGAAGGACATTGGAAGAATGAGTGCCCAAAGAGAAAACAAAAGGAAAGTCACAGCCAGGTTCTGACAGCCGCTCCTGAAACAGACTGAGGGAGTCAGGGCTCTTCTCTCGGCCCTCGGGAGCCCAGGGTAACTTTACAAGTAGGGGGCCAGCCGGTCGATTTTCTAATCAACACAGGGGCCACCTATTCGGTTTTACAGCAACCTGCGGGCCCCCTGTCAGAAACAAAGACCCACATCCAAGGGGCCACGGGAAAACTAATTGTGCCCTTGGACCAAAACTAGAATCGGGAATCTGGGGGCCAAACAGATGACTCATTCCTTTCTTGTTATGCCTGAATGCCCCTACCCTTGGATTGGCCGGGACTTGCTTCATAAGTTACAGGCTCAAATTTCCTTTGGGGAGGACTCTACCCAAATAACCTTTGCCGCTAAACCTGAATTTGACCCCAGGCCCCCAATGATTCTTTTCATGTGTCCCCTGATGGAGGGACGCTTATTGCTAACTGAGGAGGAACCCCAACCCAGTTCGATGTCCTGCTTTCAGCCTGGAAGACAGAGATTCCTGGGGTCTGGGCAAAAGGCAAACCCCCTGGGTTGGCAATTCATCATCCCCCCACTGTGGTATCTCTAGTACCAGGGGCAACTCCTATCCATGTCCATCAGTACCCGTTAAGCTTACAGGCATGCCTGGGGATCAGTGTTCCCATTCAAAGACTCAAAACAGAGGGCATAATGGTGCCTTGCAAGTCAGCACGGAACGCTCCACTGCTGCTGGTTCAAAAGCCAGGAACTACAGACTACCGGCCAGTCCAGGACTTAAGGGAGGTAAATAGCCGAGTGGAAACCCTTCATCCCACGGTCCCCAACCCATACACCCTCCTGAGTCTTCTCCCTCCGAGCCGAATCTTCTACACTGTGCTGGACCTCAAGGATTCCTTCTTCACTCTTCCGCTGGCTCTGGTAAGCCAACCCCTTTTTGCTTTTGAATGGGTGGACCCCCAGACGGGAGGAAGTGGCCAATTGACATGGACTAGGTTGCCACAAGGTTTCAAAAATGCGCCCACTTTATTTGATGAAGCATTAAGCAGAGACTTGCTTCCATATAGACAATAGCACCCTAATGTAACAATTCTACAATAGTAGATGATGTTCTCTTGGCCTGGTCTCTTGAAGTTTGCAAACAGGCCTCGGAGGAACTCCTAAGAGAACTAGACAGGCTGGGCTATCGTGTGTCGGCCGAAAAGGCTCAGCTCTGCCAATCTCAGGTAACCTACGTGGGTTACAACCTGAAAGAAGGCCAACGAACTCTGTCTACAAAAAGGATTGAGGCCATAATAAAAATTCCTACTCCCAGAACTAAACGCCAAGTGAGAGAATTCCTAGGTCTCCTCGGCTATTGCTGCTTGTGGATCCTGGGGTTTGCTGAGATCGTCCAGCCTCTCTATGCTAGTACGGGGGGTGACCAAAAAGGTGACTTGATCTGGACTGACCAAGAACAGCAAGCCTTTCAAAAGCTGAAGAAAGCCCTTATCTCAGCCCCTGCTCTAGCTCTTCCAGATCTGACTAAACTGTTCCAACTTCATGTGGCAGAAATAAAAGGGATAGCAAAGGGAGTCCTTACTCAATATCTAGGACCCTGGAAGTGACCCGTGGCTTTCTTGTCCAAACAGCTTGATACAACTGCCGCTGGCTGGCCTAACTGTTTGTGTGCCGTTGCTTCCACAGCTATCCTGGTAAAAGAGGCTACAAAGCTGACATTTGGTCAAGAACTTCAAATTGTGGCCCCTCATGCAATGGTAAACCTGTTAAAAAGTCCCCCTGATCGTTGACTGTCGAACACCAGGATAGTACAATATCAGGCCCTGCTTTTAGACCCCACCCATGTAGTTTTTGCCTACTACAGCTCTAAACCCCGCTACCCTCCTCGAGGATGATGATCCTGAGCCGCCAGTACATGACTGTATGGACATTTTAAATGTCTCATCTAGCTTGAGGAGCGACTTAACTGATGTCCCCCTCCAAGATCCGGACATCACACTCTATATTGATGGGAGCAGCTATGTCCAGGATGGAGTCAGGTATGCGGGGGCGGCTGTGGTCACCGAAAAGGAAGTGATCTGGGCTATAAGAATCATCCACACCTGATGACATCTAAGGGTCCACTCCTAACACCAGCTTTCCCTGAAGCGGCAGAATCGCATAGCTATCTGCCTATCCAAGGAGCCCCGCTGCAAATCTGAGTCACCTGGGAGGTAAGAATCCGAACCCAAGCCTAGCTCTTCACCCTCCACTCCCGGATCTCCCTCCTGCTGCATCGTCCCCTTCCTGGGACCTCCTGTGTCCTCCACCCTGGCACCCACCAGCTGGGAGTCAAGCTCCACGCCTCTCCTCAGCACCCACGTGAAGTCTACCCCGAGCCCCGGCTCTGCTCCCAAACCTGGCTACTTCTGGGCCACTGCTCCCTCCTGAGAGCTCCGTGTTTTCATCATCGCCTCCTACTTGGCTACCCCAAAGGTCTACAGATTTACCTTCCTTTTTCACCCACCTCTTCTCTCCTCCACTTGTACTACATTGTCCACACAAGCCAGAGACATTTTTCTTTCCTTCTTTTTTCTTTTCTTTTCTTTGCTTTCCTTTCTTTTTCTTTCCTTCCTTCCTTCTTCCACTTTCCTTCCTTCCTTTTGCAAAGCTGGGGAGCCAATCCAGGGCCTTATGCACTTAATGTGGGGATATTTTAAGTTCCCACCTCTGGTGACTGTAAAAGGTAACTCTGCCTAGCAGACTCTATACTAAGCATGGTGGTACATACCTGTAATTCCACCTATTTGGAAGGCTGAACAAGAGGATCAAAAGTTCAAAGCCAACCTGGATAACTTTTACATTATCTCAAAGTAAAAAGGGCTGGTAGCCCAGTGGTAGCATGCCTCAATCCCGAGGACTGGAAAAAACCAAAAGCTGGAAGACAGAGGGCTTGGAAGCACTAGGTAAATAATACACAAAATCAGAAGAATAAAAAAATAATATAAGCTAATTAGTGAAGAGTCATTTCTCAGGGCTTACATTATACACATTCCATGCCTTCCCTCACTAAATCCTTGCTGTCATCCTGTGAACCAGATTATCCATATCTCACAGCTGAGGAAAGCAAGAGGTCAGTTTATCTTCAAGGTTTCTAAATAACCTGCAGAACCAAACTTCTGGACAGTTTGGTTACTGTGTCCACAGGACCCACTATCCTCCAATTCTGTTACAAGAGGAGGATCTTAAATGAAACCTCTCTCCAGCGCTAGGGGCAGGGCTCCAGCAGGGATGCCACGGGCTGCGCCAACCAACACCCAGGGCGCCCTCACCTCAGGACGTAGGAGCGGGCAGGCGCGCTCTTGTAGATGTACTGTGCCAGCCACCACTGCACCGTCATGTTCCAGTACCGCATGCCCTCCCGCACACGCATGCAGAAGTCTGTGTTGTAGCAGTCGATGTTGCGGATGGTCTCGTAGTCGTACTCCAGGGCAGCCGCCTTCTCCAGACTGGGGGTGGGGATGAGGGCGGGGACAGACATGCCGCTCAGCCAGGCACACCTCGCCCCCCCCCACGTCTACTCTTGTCCCAGCCCCTGACACTAACTAAGGAGCGACTCTAGCCAGGTAGTAGCTCTCCGGCTGTCAGAGTTGCCAGAGCACAGAGAAGGAAGGCCAGGGCGAGCAGGGCGGGAGGGTGGAGCACCATTCACCAACAGTGGGGTTCTCTTCGTGGTAATGGGGGGCTGCCACAGCTGCAGAAAGCCTGCAGGGGAACAGTTGCTAAGCTATGAGTGCTTCAGCAACCAAGCTCAGCATATTCACAGAACCTACCAAGTGTGGTCCCTTCTGAGCCCTGGGATAGTATGGTTGCTAGGGAAGCATCTTTCCAAAGGAGGTGGTTGCTAGGGAGATGTTCTAGGCCTGAGATTCAGTGATCTCTTGCTGGGCCCAAAAAGTTCCTTAGCGACAAGGCTTAGGCTGGGCATGGCCTCCGGGAAGGGCTGCTCCAGCCCATCCAGGTAGGGGCGATAGTGAAAGAACGGGCCTGTGGAGGCAGAAGAGATGGGTGATCAGAGACTAAGAGGGAGAAGGGGAGGGGAGTGGAGGGAGACCCAGACAGGACAGACAGAAAGATGGGACAATGACCCTAGGAGTGAGGACTGAGATTAAGATAGATGGGGACAGACAGACAAGACCTGGACATGGGATGACTTTCATATAAGTCACAGAAGGTAGAGCAGCTGGAGACGAGATGGGGTGGGGTAGGTTGAGGACGCCCAGGCCTGCAGGCATGAGGATGGGCTGAGGGTGTTACACCTAAGGGTGTAACAAGGAAGCCACTGAACTCCAGCAGGGAGAGCTGGTACTACCCACGAGCCCGCTCCTCACTGAGCAGGCTTGGCCTTAGGGGGTAATCAGTGGAAACACGGTGGTGCAGTGGCCTAGGGAGGAGCAGAAGACTTGGGTGTGCAAACCTTGAAAGTTTACAAAAATCTCGCACATGTGAGATTCACACACCCAGAACAGGCCCATGGGAGAGACAGTCCAGAAGCAGTGGGGACAGTCCGGGGCAGCGGAGCGGACACGGAACACCACGCAACTCCAGGCAGAGAGTGAGCGCGAGGGGGAGAGGCCATGCGTCAGGCAGGCCGCTCACCTGTCATGATCCCCACGTAGCAGTAGCTGTAGCTCAGCGTCTCCATCAAGGAGGGAACTTCGGGCAGCAGCCCCAGGGCGGGCGTCTTGCTGAAGCCCGAGGCCATTTCCTTCCGCTGGGCCAAGTGCAGGTCCTGGACGTCACTGGCCAGACTCACCAGCTGGGGGCGGGCAGGCAGAGCGGTCAGCGGCACCTCCCTCAGGGCTGCAGTAGGGCGCTCAGAGCCCCCACAGCAAAGGCTGCCTGCGGACAGCTGGAGGCGCTCCCCGCAGCAGGGGAGGGCCTGGTGGGACACCCGGAGTGGTGGGACACCCTTCCAGCTCCATCCTGGGCCTCCTCTCTCTCCGCCAGCTGTCCCCATGTGCGCTCATGCAGTCCTGTGGCCTTAGGTTCGGTCCACAAGCCAATCACACACGAACACTACCCCAATCTGGACCTCGCCGAGCCCAGAGCCCCAGCAAGCTGCCCAGTCACCGTTCATACTTGGAGCCTTCCAGACTTGCCAGCTGTAATGCGTCCAAAAGGGAGCAGTGTCACCCACTGCCCGAGGCAGATCTTCCTGTCTCTCCAGCAGAGCGGCCACCCCATCCAGTGAGCTGCTCAGGCCAGAAGCCGCACCGCTCCGCACCCAACCGCTCAGCTTTCTGTCTGTCTCCTTCTCCACACCTCCACTGCGGGGCTGAGGATGTCCCACCCGCCCTTCCAGATCTACCCTCTACCGTCCCACAGGGCCCAGTCCTGAAGTGTCTGCCGGCCTCCTACAGGGCTAACAGAACACTGAGGAAGGCAGAAGAATGCGAGCAGCACTTTCCTTCTCCTGGGAGATGGCAACCTGGAGAGCTGCATTCAAGGGCAAGGGGGCCTCTGTACAACACGTTTTCCTTCCGTTTTGCATGACCTGCCCTCCTCGACCTGCCAGGCCCTGGGTAACAGCACCCTGCTTCTGGTCCAGGGTCCCTGCCTAGCCTTCACTTACTCTCCATCCTGCCCACCCTGATGCAAATGAGCCCCTCTAGCTGTCCTCAGCAGCAGTTCTTGTTGGGGCTCTGAGCCGCCACTGATTGCACATCAAGCCGCTACTGTCTGTCACCGGGACCTTGTACTGAGGGACATACCCAGTCCTTTTCTTTTTTTTTCCTCTCTCTCTCTCTCTTTCTTTTTCTCTCTCTCCCTCCTCTCTCTCTCTCTCTCTGTCTCCTGTTGTTTTTGAGACAAGGCCTTCCTAAATTGTAAGTTGTCCAGGCTGGGCTTGAAGTCATGATCTTGCTTCAGCTTCCCAGAGCGCTGCGATTATAGGCATGTGTCACCAGCTCAGGATGAATAGCTTAATGTTCTAAATATGCAAAACTGATTGCAAAACTGATCATGCAAAACTGATTGCAAAACTGATTGCATCCTCTCTTCCAGAAACAAACCAAAAAGCTCTCCCAGTGAATATTGGTCCTTGTGCTAACTGTTCATCAGACAAAGGACTACTACCTAGAATATACAAAGAATTAAAAAAAAATCAGAGCCCTCACAAATTTAAAGACCCAATCCAAAAATGGGCATCTGGAATAGACACTTCTCAGAAGAAGAAGAACAAATAGCAAATAAATATATGAAAAAATGTTCAACATCACACAGGTCATTTGAGAAATGCAAATTAAAACAATGCTGAGATTCCATCTCATTGCAGAAAGAATGGCTATCACCAAGAAATCAACCCATAACAAGTGCCGGTTGGGCTGTGGGGAAAAAGGAATCTTACTCTACTGCTGGTGGGAGTGCAGACTGGTACAACCACTGTGGAAATCAGTGTGGAGATTCCTCAAAAAATTAGGACTAGACATCCCATCTGACTCAACTGTTTCCCTTCTTGGTATCTTTGCAAAAGAATTAAAAGCATTATACCACAGAGATATATGCACACCCATGTTTACAGCGGCACAGTTTGTAATAGCTAGATCTTGGAAACAGTCCAAATGTCCATCAACCAAGGAATGCATAAAGAAGATGTGGGGCTTTTTGATACAATGGAGTACCACTCAGCAGTAAAGAAGGATAAACTTGAGAAATTTATAGCTAAATGGATGGACCTTGAGGCCGTACTGTTAAGTGAAATACAACGGACCCACATGTATAAATGCCACATGGTCTCTCTGGTGTGAGAAACTGAAAGTGCAAATAAGAACCAAAAATATATAGCATATATTGTGAAATGCGAAGAAATTGTTCAAAAAGGAAGGGCAACTAGGGAGGGGAAAGAGGGAAGGGAAAAGAATTAAAATGAGAAAAGGAAAATAAAATGGAGACAGAGCTTTGTAAATAAGGAGGGGAAAAAGGGTTGAAGGAAAGGGAGAGAGAGGGAAAAAAGAGCTACCAAGATATATCATGTACAAATTCCCTATGATGAATGTATATGTGTATCTAAATTGTGCCAATAAACTTAATAATAATAAAAAAAAGGAACCTTGGTTCCCCCATAGAAGGAGGTCCCAGTCCTCCATAGCAGACAAAGCCCTACATGGCCCGGACCTTGCTGCCCATTGCCCTGTGCGCTCTGCAGGGTGCTGACGTGGCTGGCACAGTCTGCGGCACTGGCCGTCCCACACACTGTGGCCCGTAGCCCCGAAGCATCCCGAAATGGTCTCCCTGCAAGTCGCCTTGCAGCTGACTGGCACCTGCCTATGCGCCAGCTCTCGGTGAGAACACAGAATGCTGAAAAAGTCACTTCTCCACCTTATGTGACCGTTCAGCTCACTAATGTCACCGGATCCCAGAACAGTACTTTGGCCAGGTACTCCCCAAGCTAGTTTTCCTCACATGCAAAACAGTTTTCCTCATATGCAAAACAATTTAAGGACCACATGTTGGCAAAGCGGGGTCAAAAGGCACAGCCCAGGTGCCAAAGCACTCATCCTATTACAGCACGCGGGCTCTTTCCTTACCCCAGAATGAGGGGAGAGGTGAGGGTCTGCTCCTGGGCATGTGAGGGGTGAACGCCGCTCCCACACTCAGGGTTTGTGTAATCACCTCGGGAAGAGTAGGGAGGAGGTGCAGAGGAGACGCTAATGGAGCCGCAGTGAGACTCTGGCTGGGGGGAGTCCAGGCTGACCTTCAGTGTCAACAGCAGCTGGGTTGTACAGGTGTGTACGGGAGTCAGCAGGCCCAGCAGGCTGAGGGTGTGGAAGAACAGGAGGTAGAAGAAGCTCCACAGGAGGGCCAGGCTTCGGCAGGAGCTGGGGCAGAAGCGGGAGGCGCTGTGGGTGCAGGGACCTCAGCCGGTGTCTCCCTCCCCGAAGTCTAGCCACAAAACTCCCCCAGGACTCAGAGTTCAGACAGAAAATTCCGGTCGGGGAAGAAAGAGCTCAGCCCCATGGAAGGGAGGAAAAAGTGAGATGAGAGATGCTCCAGGAGGGGCTGGGGATTTAGCTCAGCGGCAAAGCGCCTGCCTGGCAAGCGCAAGGTCGTGAGTTCGGTTCCCGGTACCGGAGAAAAACCAAAAAAA